AACGCCGCACACATGCGAGGGTTAACAAAAAAAAAAAGTTTTCCGGCAATAACTTTTGACTCAAGAGAGCCACAACATTACTTTTGGCAGCATCGTGTTCCTCTCGTCGAGACGCGTCGAATGAACTAAATGAACTATTTGTTGACCTTGAAAGATCATAAAAATGACCTCAGATCAAGGTCGTGACCTGACCGGAAAGGGTCATGTTGCACATTAGTCGATCCTTGTCGTCGAGCTGAATACAGCTGATGTGTTTTCACCGCGCTAGCACGTCTCTATCAAAAGTTATAGCCAAAAAGCTGCTGGTGACCGTTCATATCCTGAGATGACCTCAGAGGAATGCAGAAGGGTCACAGGTGCAAATTTCCGATTCAGTGCGTCACGTTTACATATGAACCGATGTTTGAGAGCGTTTTAACGAAATTCATCCAAAAGAGGCGCATTTCAATTTTCTCCCATTGACTTAACCCTCGCCGGACCTATTGGTTTTCTACATACGCGCCGGCCGAGGGGGGGGGGGCGGGTACGACCCCCCCTCGCCGTTTCGCCCCTGGTGGAGCTAGCGCGTCGCGGAAAAAACGAGCGTGTGCGTCGTTACGAGACGCAGAGATTGGTACCCGATTTTAAGGTCCTAGGTCAACCGGTGACCTCTGAGGTCAGGTCAAGTGCACCAAGGTACGGTTCAGTTTTTGGTGAATAACTTCGCAAAAAAGGGCCGCAGAGCCGCGATTTTGGCAGCATTGTGTTCGCCTCGCTCAGGCGCGTCGAATGATATACTTTTTGTTCGGGTCAGGTCAACTTAGGGTGTTGACCTCATGTCAAGGTCAGGTCAGCACCCCCAGGTCACGAAGTTGGTCGAAAGAGGTCATGTCGCATATCATTCGATTCGGCAGGTCTTCCTGAGCCCATTGGTGGCTTTCCCGACTCGCTAGCTCAATTTGGTCGGGAGTTATTGACGAAAAACTAATATGACCTTGATGACGTCATAAATGACGTCACACAAGGTCAACATTGCAAAAGTGACGCATCTAACCTTGCAAGGAGTGCATCAAATCACGATTCTGTGTGCTTGAGATAGTTGGAGATCGTTCCCGGCGCCAAAATAGCAGTTTTCATTTTTCCCCATTGACTTACGATGGTGAGGTCACGAAAATGACCTGACCTCATATGACCTTTAGGAAAAAATCCGAGATATACAAGTTGTGAGACTTATAATGGATACTAGATCCTGCAAGTTTCATTTCCCTGTGACATCTCCTCCGGCAGTGAGGGCGTTGCGAAGTTGCGACATCTGAAGACCGTGCCAGAGGCTCACTTATGACGTCATAGGTCAGTGACCTGACCTGACCAAAAAATGCGGTTGGTGTCAAAAGATCCTGCTTGAATCAAAGGTCAGGTATGCCAAGTTTCAGCTCTCTATCGCCAGCGTGTTCGGAGCTATCGCGAAAAAAACCTATGGGGGGGGGCGGCACCCCCCCCCCCTCGGCCGGCGAGGGTTAAGGAGAGGTCGCAAAATTGACCTGACCTTAGGTCACGGATATAAACAATCCGAGGTAAACCTACATTTTATACGCACTGTTATCGCTGAAAGTTTTAAAGTGATCGTTTAGTCGGTGTAGCTATAGCGAGCCTTTGAACTTTTTCTGAGATGAGGTCACTTGACGTGACCTGGTGACCTGACCTTGAACGACTTGTACAGGGTGGGGCAGAAAGATTTACCTGTTTGTTTTCAGTCCATCACTTAAAAAGTTATGAACGGATTTTGATACAATTTTGCATGCAGCTTCCCAACTGACTCATGTATCAACTTTAAGATCGTTTTTACATTTTGTAATAGTTGTTGGTGAGCTATGGCGAAGATGACTAAGTGAGCCCAAATTGCGGCGCTGAAGTAGACTGGCCACAGCTCCCGAAGCGTTGCCAAACAGCTCGGTGTTGCCGTAAAAACTGTTTGCAGTATAATTAAATGACTTAAAAAGACAGTGCTAGTGTCGTCGAAGTACATGCCAGGCAGAACAAGGGATTTCCGCTTCAAAAAGCCAGTTGATATCGTGCACAAGAAGGTGTTTCAATTCCTAGGCGAAGCATGCGCAAACTGCCAAGGGAACTCGTTGTTTAGCCCAGAACCGCCAAGAGAATCATAAACGACGGCTTAGGCTTTATGTCATACAGGATGCAACGTCGACACCTAATTTCGGCGGCATCCAAGGAAAACCGGCTACACAGGATCCAAAAGACGTTGGAGAAGATCAGGAGCGCCGGTAACAAGGCATTCTGCTGGTCCAATGACAACATGTTCATGCCTGAGCCCCAGAGACACTCCCAAAGCGTCAACATTTTGGCAGATGGTCCATCCAGCATTGATCCTGCTATTCGCACCATTTTTTGTTGCTTGAAGCCTGCTGGTGTCATGGTTTGGGCTACCGTCGCATCCGACGGCTCAAAAGGAGCCTTGGTCTTCATCAAGGAGGCTGTGAAAGTGAATTCAGAGGTTCGAGTCCATCTGCTGGAGGAACATGCTTTGTCTTGGGTCACTCAGTCGTTCTGAGACGGATACGTCTTCGTCCAGGACGGTGCGCCGCTGCAAACGGCCAACATCGCTCAACCGTGGTGGAAGACCCACATGCCTGGGTTCTGGGACAAAGACATTCGGCCATCATCAAGTCCAGACCTGAACCCGATGGACTTCGCAATCTGGGCCATCTTAGAAAGGAGGGTGTGTGCAGTGCCACACAGCAGAATCGCCGCCCTGAAGCTGGCCCTCGAGACGGCACCGTCGAATCTTGGCGGGGACACAGTGCGGCGCTCGTGCCCCTCCGCAGAGGGACGTTTCGAAGCAGTGGTGAAGGCAAAGGTGACCATATTGAGTCATTATGCCGTCGCTGAGATGTGTACATGTTACTGCATATATGTGCCAGGAAACAATTTGATATCTTTGTTCGGGGCCGAAATATTTAAGAAAATCAAGAGGTAAATCTTTCTGCCCCACCCTGTATCTGAAATTTTCACATGTGCGGAAATGATGTATGAACATGTGTACCGCGCCCGCCGTTTTCGAGATATTTGCGAAAAACCTGAGTTGGGGGCGTAAACCCCCCCCCCAGCAATTTAGGCACGGGTGAATCGGGCACGGATTAATCCATTATTGACTATTGAGATTACCATGAGCGTGAATTTGTAGCTGGGTATATGCCTACATTCATGCAGGCATAAGAGTTTTCACATCTCTTATGAAAGCTTATAATGAGATCAATACGAATGATGCCCTCTTGAATAAGCTCTTGGGAACTAACAGAGAGAGGAAGGACTCCTGATAACACGGCCATATGTAGATACTATAGATAGATAGGTACTGCTGATACCAGCCGGCCCTTTGTTGGTCTAGGCGTAAGAATCTTGGTCTAGGCAAGGCTAATAGAACTCCCATAGAGCTATAGGTCTAGGTCTGACTTTTAGATGTGCGAACTGTGATTTTGGTGCAAAATGCAAACACACTGAGCAGATGTGTTTGAAAGCTTCGTCATTGACTCATTACCTACCTAAAGTGGAAGTTCGGATGACTCGGAAAATGTTGCTTGAAAGTTGAAACTGCATTCGTGCTAGTATAGAAAACTTGACGCTAACTATCTATTCCATTTTTTATTAAAGGGACTATCCCACCTTTACATTAGGTTTGAGTTGAGATAGCCAAGTTTTCGGCGAGGTTCAGAAACCACTATCTATCTAGGTTGCAACCCCCGCGGCCTCGTGGTGTTGAAGAAATTCGTTCCCTTCATTTGAAAATGGGCCTTGTACAAGGCCCAATCTCTTAACCATTAACGGCATTCTGATGACGTCATTTGCCCTTTGAACGCCTCTTACGCATTCGAGTAGAGTATCACTTGATTTACGAATAAGCTGGCGTTGGCTGACTCGGCGCCCCGGCGGCACCCAGCGGCGGCCTCGGCGATAATCTTGGGTTTGGACTTGGGTTTGGATAAATTTACCGTTTGTTTTATTTTTTCAATTTGTTTCCATTTCCTGAAATGGAAACAAGTTGAAGATTTGCTTGTCTAAGGCAGCAAGATTTATAAACATCGCCAAATTTATCATATGCAATTGGAGCTTGTTTCAGTTTTTATAGCAGGGTCATGAATATGATACAATTTTATTTCAATGGTAGATTCGTCATGGTACAGTACAATTTCAGTGGTAATTTCGAGTAATTTATGTCATTGAATTGAAACTGCAAGTACATCCCACAAAAGAGCTTATCCTCTTCAAGTTTCAGTCTTGATCCGACTGATTTGTCAAGAGTGCGAAAAGTGAGGCGACAAAAGAGAGCTACAGGTTTTTCAAGATTTAAGTGTTCTTGAATAGCAGGTTATACAACATTGTGCTGTGACATAACCACTGGGCCTTGTGCCCCCTGTGACAGAGCCCCTGCATCAGCTGGTCTGACACGGCTGGGCTCGCAAGTCACAAAGAACGTCTTGGTGCTCTTAATTATGATTGATGATTGTGCTGTGAAAGAAGGGTACCTACATGGCAAAATACATTTGTATGTAATTTCTTGCCACAGCACCCACCTACATGTACATTTTTGTTGTCTTTGTGTGAAAAATGAATATATTTTAAGGAAATTAAGGCATTTCTGTTTAAAGCATGCAGAAATTCATGTGTGATGCTGTCCTGGTAACTCATGTGGAACAGAACAGGCTGCAGACTCAGATCGTGCTTGAACAGAGACAATCATCAGTTATCTACATATGCACATGCTTTGTAAGTTCCCTGCCTTTTCCCAGATTCTACTTGCTAGTTGTGAAAAGGATCGGACAAGGCAAGGTACTCATGCTCATGGTGCCACCATATGCAATTACTGACAGGTGAATTCGGTGACTAAAATCCTTAACGCTCTATGGATAATTATTCTGCTCTTATGTTCAGTATGTTGATATCAGAAACTCGCCGAGGTAACCTGCCCTGTGGCATTTCTTAGTTCAAAAATGTAAGCATTACACTCATCAGTCATGTAACTTGTATTTACATCCATGAACAAACAATGTGCAAAGGAGCTACCCAACCAGGTACAAGCAGTAGTGTCTACAGCGTAGCGCGTACCGCCTCCGCAAGGGGCGCGCCCCTCTACAATGGGCATGCGCGAACTCCTTCTCTGCAACGGGCGCGCCGGCGAACGTACGCGAGCGATCACGGGTCGCCACCACCAGCTGGCGACTGACGGCGCAAGGCCATAAAAGTACGACGGCGGGCCCGGCAGCAGCCGGCGCTCGGCAGGCGCTACAGCGCGCGTTGTGGGGGGGGGGAGGCGTTGGACGCGGGATGGGCGCACAGTCGCGCACCACGACCGACGGCGACATCACCTGCTGCGTCTGGCTCGGCGAGCGCAGCTGGGAGCCGGCTGGAACAGACAGAGCGGCGTCACCCGGCGGAGAGACACGCGGGGGACGGGACAGACAGACACACGGGCCGACAAACTGGGAGAGATTCGAACGCCCGCACGGCAGCAGGGCAGGGAGCAAACATGCCCGCTATATTCACGTGTCGATTTTCATGACGTCAGTCTTGAGCACAAGCTGACTTCATCCCTACATCCCGTTTTACTTATAATCATAATTGAGGTCCTGGATCGGTACACCGGCTCAGTCACCTGTTGACGGCGGCGCACAGCGTGACCTACCCGCTCTTCAGCCGGCCCCAGCAGGGTGAGTAGTGAGTACTAATACCCGCCCCCATGCCAATGCCAAAATCACTAGCACTGAGAGTTTTATGGAAAAGCTCTCCTCAGCGGCCGGTATGAGCTGGCCGTGCGGCGGCCGCGACTGACCTGCGGCCGCTGAAGGTCTGGTGAGTCGGACGGACACCTCCGGCACTGTCGGCAGGGCGGCCGATTTGAGCGCAGCGCTGTCCAGTCGGACTGACGGCAGCACAGAGACCAGCTGTCCGTGCAGGCAGTACCGGTGGCCCGAGTCGCTACTGCTGCGGACCCGGCCCGGTACCGGCGCCGGGTGGTGGCCGGCCGCGGCGGGGAGCGGGTCCGCCGTCCGCTCCGCGTCCCCGGCCGCCCCGCCGCCGCTCTCTGGACCGGCCGGAACGGTGACGGTGACCGCGCTGATCTGAAGGCGCACCTCCAGACGCTCCAGGGCCGGCAGCCAGGCCAAAGTCGGAGCGGCGGGCGGCGCCGGCGGAGTGGGGGAGACGGCCGCCGCAGCGGGAGTGTTGGGTGACACTGCAGGTAGGTTCCTCTCCGTGGTGTCGCTCCGTGCCGATCGCGAGGTACCTGAGTGTCCGTGCGGCCGGGGCACATCCACGGCCGGCGAGCGGCGGCGGCGGCGGCGGCTGGGGCAGTGGCGGCGGCGCCGGGCCACTCAGCTGCTGGCCAGCTGAGTGGCCAGGGACAGCCAGAGCAGCAGTGCCGGCTGCCAGCAGAGCAGGGCCGGCTCGGAGACGACCACCAGCAGCGGGCAGCTGTCCGCGGCGGCGGCAGCTGTCGGCAGCTGCAGCAGCGCCCGTACCGCCCGCTCGCCGCCGGGAGCCGGCGCGTCGGCCGCCTGGGGCGCGGCCAGCACGGGCCGGCCGTCCAGCTGACAGCGCACCGGGCGGCGCCGGCCCAGCACCGCCGCTGTCCCAGCGGCGGCAGCTGGGCGGGCTGGCCGTCGGCCGCGGCCGAGACCAGCACCGCCTGGTCAGCCGTCACCTGTAGGGCGCACGGGGAAAAGGGATACAGTCAGGAGCCGCGGCCGTAGTTATTTATTTCCAATCGACAACAGGGCATTGGAGCAGTGTTCCCGCCACTTCTAATGAGTAGTTATGTCGAGCCTTCCACAGTGTACTTCACAACTAGAAAACGCACTCAACAATAATCACACAACAACGGCACACTCTCAGGGCCATTCTAACAAAACACCCGCGGTTATAATTAGCATTACTCGGTATAATGACTGACCGTGCATCGTGTGTGGACGTGGCAGTTGTAGAGCAGCGCAGCGGTCGGCCGGCGCCGCTCAAGCTGGGAGACACACCGGCACAGCCGGGACAGGTACATGGGCTGCTGCTCGTTCCACTGGATCGTCTGACAGCGCAGCTGGAGACGCACCTCACCGGCCTGAGGACGGGGGAACCGGGACAGATAAACAATACACCAGCAATGCTGGGAGACGCACCTCACCGGCCTGGGGACGGGGGAGGACTGGGTGATACAACCGGGACAGACAAATAACACAGCTGCTGTAGACGTATATACCTCCCCGGCCTGGTGACCGCGCGCGGGTGATGCGACCTCATAGATCAACAGCGATCAGCCGGATCATCGGAGCAAAAAAGCACGCATCTCAGGAGCCCATCTCCTTGCAAGTCTGCGATCATATCTCAACGCCTAACTGCAGCAGCTCTTCAAACAATGCAGCTGATGCTGCCTTTTCGAACATCCCCGCTATGCACGGACCCACGCCGCCCAGCTCCCCGTTGGCGGCCACCACTGTCAGCCGCCGCCCCTTCCACCGCTGCGCGGAGACCCACCTTTTCCAAGTCTCCATGGCCAGCCACCACGGTGACTCGCGGCTCCAGCACCGTCAGCTACAGGCCGCGAGCCGAGGTGTTGGCCTCCAGCGCCGCCGCCTCCCCGTGCGGCACTGGGCCCGGGCGGGCCTCTCCGTCCGCTGCGGGAGAGGGCAGAGGGTAGAGGAGAAGGTCAGGGCGGGCCTCCCCGCCTGCAGCAAAACAGGGGGAAGGAGCGGTCAGGTGGGTCTCCCCGTCCGCTGCAGGAGAGGGCAGAGGGGCGTTAGTGATAGTGGGCAGATGAAACGGAATGTTTATTTCAAAGATATACGCTTTTTCACTAGTACGGCAACTACACTTCTCAGAGGTGAAAATCGCTGATATAATTGGGACGCACTGCCGAAAAAGAAGGAACTTGCAAGTCACAAGCAGCGATGGGGACGACTCATGAAGAACAGTGCATCATGTTAAACAACTTCAAGCTAACTCTGAGCGTTACTCAGTACACACTACTCACCCTGCTGGGGCCGGCTGCAGGGCGGGTATTGGTACTCACTACTCACCCTGCTGGGCCGGCTGTAGGGCGGGTAGGTGACGCTGTGCGCCGCCGTCAACAGGTGACTGAGCTGTCAGAAAGTCACACGTCAATAAACGAGTCCTTTCTACACGCTGTGTCTAAATCACTCTAATGGACGTTACAAAAACACGCCAGGATTCTACGATCCTTGTCCAGTTTCTGCAGCAGCAGCGCGAGTCACTGGCAGCGCTGTTGCTGCCAGACGACGGCCGTCGGCGCCCGGCGCACGCGCGCCGCGCACCGGTCGACGTGTCAGCTGGTAGCGGCTGTGCGCTGCCAACCCCGGCGCAGCAGCTGGCGGAACACGACAACCTGGCGGGACGCATGGCCGGGTCAGAGGGGGAGTGGGAGCCGACAGGGTCAGCCACATCACAGTGGATGCCTACCTCACCCCACACTGACAAAGTGCCACCATGCCAGGAAAATGTTTCACCTCAGAACAGCATGAACCTAGAAAGAAAACAGGATTGCATAGCTCCTGTATAGAATAGTCATAGACATAAAGCTAAAAGCATAGACTCAAATTATTGAGCCATGGCCAAGATTTTACTGAGGGAGGGGCCACAGGTCGCGGCCTAGTGTCGTACCCCCTCCAAAAAGGAAAACTCGGATTTGGCCCACTATTTTTGGGGGTATGGTACAGCTATTTTTATTTATATTTTATTTAATTTCTCGCCTTTGGGGGAGACCATGACAGCCGTGGCCACTCCCTTGGCTACATCCCTACATTGAACGAAGAAGCAAATTGAAGAAGCAGCTTTGACCATAGGCGCAAACATAATATGGAACAGACTACATTTTTATGTAATATGTTATGAAGTCAACATTGCATGCTTTATATAGGCAATCTTATCTTCACCAATCCATTTTGTTAAGCACTTATCTACTTTTCTAGTTTCAATTGATTGGTCAATGCTTGTAATGTATACATAATTATCAGCATTCAAATATATGATGCTGAGACATGTTCAATCTCTGACCAACTCCCTGTATACAAAAGATATAATTGTAGCATTATGCATAGGGTCATAACTTACTGATCACTTTCTGTCAACAGCCTGCAAGCAGCATTGCGATCTTCCCTCCGCAGTGACGGAGACCTCTGTCATGTGCGCATGGTGTGTTGTGTTGTGTTGGCATTCAAGAAATTTCAACAGCTAAGAAGGAAAAACAAAACATTTCTTTAAATACCTGCATGTTTGCTATAATAGCAAGCTAGGATGCAATGAGTAAAAGTATACAAAAATCACAATCAATAGGTTCAGAATGGAATAGGTTGTGAGGTGTTACTGTAGTAGGCTGGTTGAAAGGTTTGTATGTTGTAGACATCTGGCATGGGGGTTTTAGGTTGGTATTAAAGGTATTACAAACTTTTCAGGAAAGTAGGTAAGGTTAGGTCAGGAATGTTGGTTATTTTCATTCAAATTTCACACTTGTTCACTTTAATTGTATTCCAAATTGACACAAATTTTTTAAAAGTTATGGTGAAAATATGTTCCTTTCCTATGTGAATTGTGATGTTAGTATTTGAATTTTATATGCAGGAAGTCAAACATACTTACATTGACTATCATACCACCAACTACAAAATGCCCAGAGACACTTTTGTTATTGTATGAGCCGCGTCATATTTGAAAGCAAATATATTTGCTGCCAAATTTCCCCCTTCATTGGCATGAAGTAAATCCTTCATTACGTCACAGATCCGATCTAAATGACGTCACGATGAAATATAAAAGTCGCAATATTTCAAAAAGTATACGATGAAAACGCGTAAAAACTTGCAGAATTCGTCACAATGCCCTAAGTAACATTTCCGAATCCTAAACGGGATTTTTTCGAAGGTGGGATAGTCCCTTTAATGTGCCATGGCCATGGAAATGGTCATGGCAGTACGAAGAAAATGTACATACGTTGAGCTGCATTGTGATTGCTTCGTCGCGGTTTTGCTGCGTTTTAGTTCAAAAGCGTTACATAAATGGCGCCGCCGGGACAAACAAAAATCGCGCGTCTTTCCAAGGCCATATACCTTTCTGCTACAACCAAGGCTATTACAACACGAGGTGAGGTCTGGCAAATAATGAATGTTTTAGGGGGTGGGGGGCTAGGGCCTAACAGAGCGTCGGCATTATTTCTCATGCAAGGAGAAATAATCCAAGGAGGCCCGTGCACTGTGTTCCTGTGTTGTGTTTGACCCGTTTGGCCCCTTAGTTTGAGTTAGAAAGGTGGGAGGTAAGCGGCGTCCCAAGGGTTGTGAAAATCACATCGAAAATATTTTTGTTAAGTCTAAGCCTTTTAGATCATGAGGTATGTATGTATTTATCTAAACGTCAACAGGTATCACACCCAGTTACAGAGGTATCGGTAACCCTGGCGCTTGCCCTGGCGTCACCGGTAGCGTTTTCGTTCAAGGTTAAGGTTTCCTGTATTAGGCAGTATTAGGCCACCGTGCCAAGCCGAAGCATGCTGTGACGTCACTGGGTAAGAGAACGTACCACGCTATCAGTATCGATTGAGACTCAGATAGACTCAGAACGACTCAGGCAGACTCAAACTGACTCAGACCGACTCAACTGACTCAAATAGATTCCGATCGACTCAGACCGACTCAGAACGACCCAAACTGACTTAGACCGACTCAGCCAACTCAAATCGATTCCAATCGACTCAGACCGACTCAGAACGACTCAACCGACTCAAATAGATTCCGACCGACTCAGAACGACTCAAACTGACTCAGACCGACTCAACCGACTCAAATCGATTCCGATCGACTCAGAACGACTCAGGCAGACTCAAACCGACTCAGGCAGACTCAAACCGACTCAGGCAGACTCAAACTGACTCGACCGACTCAGAACGACTCAAACTGACTCAGACCGACTCAACCGACTCAAATCGACTCCGATCGACTCAGACCGACTCAGAACGACTCAAACTGACTCAGACCGACTCAACCGTCTCAAATCGATTCCGATCGACGCAGACAGACTCAGAACGACTCAGGCAAACTCAAACCGACTCAGGTAGACTCAAACTGACTCGATTTGAGTCGGTTGAGTCGGTTTGAATCCGCCTGTGTCTGTCTGAGTCGTTCTGAGTCTTTCTGAGTCGCTCGGAATCTATCTGAATCAGTCTGAGACTGCCTGAGTCGGTTTGAGTCTGCCTGAGTATCTGAATCGGCCCGAGTCTGCCTTAGTCGGTTTGAGTCTGCCTGAGTCGTTCTGAGTCTGTCTGAGTCTGCCTGAGTCATTCTGAGTCTGCCTGAGTCGCTCGGAATCGATTTGAGTCGGTTTGAGTCCGCCTGAGTCGTTCTGAGTCGGTCTGAGTCGATCGGAATCGATTTGAGTCGGTTGAGTCGGTCTGAGTCGGTCTGAGTCAGTTTGAGTCGGTCTGAGTCAGTTTGAGTCTGTCTGAGTCGGTCGAGTCAGTTTGAGTCTGCCTGAGTCAGTTTGAGTCTGCCTGAGTCGTTCTGAGTCTGTCTGAGTCGATCGGAATCGATCGGAATCTATTTGAGTCGGTTGAGTCGTTCTGAGTCGGTCTGAGTCGATCGGAATCGATTTGAGTCGGTTGAGTCTGTCTGAGTCAGTTTGGGTCGTTCTGAGTCGATCTGAGTCGATCGGAATCTATTTGAGTCGGTTGAGTCTGCCTGAGTCAGTTTGAGTCTGCCTGAGTCGTTCTGAGTCTATCCGAGTCTCAGTCGATACTGATAGCGTGGTACGTTCTCTTACCCAGTGACGTCACAGCATGCTACGGCATGGCACGGTGGCCTAATACTGCCTAATGCAGGAAACCTTAACCTTGAACGAAAACGCTACCGGTGACGCCAGGGTTACCGATACCGTTACAGACGTAGTCATTGATTAAAACGAATAAATACATGTGCACATGAGTAGTCAAATAATCATCACAGGGCCTAGGGTTAAGAAAATGGCCAAGAGATGTCGTAAAAGTCCCACGACTATCAAACAGGTCAGCACCAGCCATGTTCGTGATGTTCCTATACATTTCATTGATGCGCCGAGGCAATCGGCAAAACATGCCTGCTCTGAGTCAGGCGCGGATCCAGGGGGGGGGGGCGACGGGGGCGGCCGCCCCCCCCCCGCCATCCGAAAAAGGCGCCCATATCCCGCGGCAGAGAGGGCGCCCCGAGCAGAAGAGCGGCGACACAGCAAAGGTTCAGCAGAAATAGGGCGCCTCCAGCAGAAGTTGGGCTCACCAAGCAGGAGAGTGACGCCCAATTGCCTATTCCCAGCAGATGAGAGTCGCCCCAGCAGCAGATGGGCGCCCCCAGCAGAAGAGGGCGTCTCGTTACAAGAATATAAAATACCTTCTGTTCAAGAGGGGCGCCCCTGGCAGCGGAAGGGCACCCTTAGCAGGAGGCGTGTCCCCCTGAAGAAGAGCGACGCCCCAGCAAAAGGAGAGAGGCGCCCCCATTTCGAGAAGAGGGGCGCCCTGACAGCAGCTGGGCGCCCCAGCAAAAAAGGAGCCCCATAATAAGAAAAGGGGTGCCACTGG